GCATCACAGTACTTGCCACCACACACTGACACTCGTTATATTGCATATATCAGGTATCACATTACTAGCCACCACACACTGAAACTCGTTATACTGCATATATCACGTATCACATTACTAGCCACCACACACTGACACTTGTTATACTGCATATATCAGGTATCACATTACTAGCCACCACACACTGACACTCGTTATACTGCATATATCAGGTATCACATTACTAGCCACCACACACTGACAGTCGTTATACTGCATATATATGATTACATTAGGACGAATGTTTAAATGCAATGTGTGAGGGTGTCCCCGCCCCACAAATAACGCTCATATGTCATACACAACGGAGAGAGTTATTGTTTATTGTCTCACGAATCCGTTCATCCAATGGAAAGCTTAATTTAAGCGAAAGCGCGATGTCAAATTCTTACAGATTAACAAACGCAAAAGTAAAGGTTATACGCTATCTCAAGTGACAGCTCGAAAATAACTTGCTTACGTCATTTAAGCCACAAATTATCTTGGACGTCTGCTACCAACGATACGTGTCCCTAGTCCTGGTGTGTGCTGGCTGGTGGTCGCTAGATCCCCACCATTCATCACCGCGCCACCCCTCTGCCCTCCATTGAGTGGCGGGTATCTCCGGGGGGCACGCAATAACAGTCTACACATGAGGCCAAATAAAACAATAATTCTTGCTTCTCAACACCGACCAACCCTTATATTCCTCCATACACTGAAGACCTTAATGAGGTTTTTTTGCGTGCTTAATTCGATTTCAGTTCCGTAATTAAGAATTACATTCCACCACAAAGTTGCAATAAAAATGCAATCCGTTTAGTGTTCCGTTCATCCAAGGTATTATGCGTGGGGTGGCGCATACAGCCTGGCTGTGATGGACTGCGTTGATGGAGCTGGCTGCTAATTATTTTCCAAAATGGTTCCCTCCGAGGTCCACACATTTCTCTTAACGAAGATGTTTAAATTGTTTGATTATTTGATGGTGGAAATAGCTGGGGTGGGGAATAGATTGTTCACACACACGCACACACGCACGCACGCACCCTAACGCACGCACAAACACAAAAAATGGATGCTTCCTAATGTAGGCTAAGGTACCTATGCTGAGGTCTACGTTCTATGCTTCGTGTATGTTGTGTCATCTATTATTGTGTTTTGTATCTATTTCATTTTGCATTCCTACATGTTTAGTAGGAAAATAACTTATCTAACTTATAATTATATTCTTTCTTGTGTAAATATGTTACAATACTCACTATGCTTTGAATCTGTCTGGTTGAAATGTTGTGTACATATGACACATTGAAGTTTATTTTGTTGTTTCACGAAGCCTTGCAACACGGCATATAGACAATTTATATACAACACTGCGATCCGCGTCTTCTCCCGAGTGGCCCATTTGCATAAGGTGCTGCAATTGTCTGAGTTGCGTCCCTTAGACGTGCAAGAATCCGATGATCGTTGGTTCGAATCCCAATGTCACCGCATTCAAACCCTTGTTTCGACAGCGCCACACCCGTGGTCATGAGTTTCACCCAAGCGGCAAACGTCACCATATCAGGCCTTCCTCCCACACTGACACGTCGTCATATAATGCAGCTACTGCACAAAGCAAAGCTAAACCCAACTCACCTTGTCACTACACCATAATAAGTCATCTCTCCAGCGTCTCAACAGCCACGCAGCTTGTGTTGTGGTTCAGTTCGAGTGGGGACGTTTCAGACAGTGTGACCACCACTGAGCACATCGCCCATACTCTGTGAAAAGCGGCACGCACGGAGAAGGCCGAGCGACTGACACAAGCCAGTGGAAATTGAAAACACGTCGCCCCTAATGAAATGATTGGTGCAGTAAATGGGCTGCACTGTCATGTCTACCGGGACCATCTGTGCACGTGTAGCCTGTCTACAGACCGGGCTCTTCCGCGTTTCCTCTTATTTGTATAGAAATAACTGATGTTTCACTTAATTCGACTTCACATGACGTATTTTGAAACACCAGTTCCTATTTTCTCTTTCCTGATTTCCGCGAAATATAGTACATTATCTTAACAGCAGATTTATCTATCTTAGCACAAATATAAACTAATTTCTTCAAGCGATGGAGTTTCCTCTTTATCTGTATGTCAGACTGCACCATTGAATGTACTGGCTGACGCACTGCTCAAAATGGTCCGTGTCTACATGCAGAGTTGGACCCGTGAAGACCCGGGTTAGAATAGGTCTTCAGCAACCCAGGCTTGCCGTAAAAGGCGAAGACGCTTGACGTAAGAGGCGACTAACGGGATCGCATGTCAGGTTCGCTGACTTGGTTGATGCATGTCATTGTATCCAAATTGCGTGGATCGGTGCTCATGATGTCATTCACTGGACTGTTGATTCACACTGGATTATGTACAGACCGCCGCCATACAGCTGGGGTTGATACGCCGTCAGCTAATATCTGTCGCCATACAGTAACCTTGTTTCGCCCACCAACCACACATAACACTGCCATCTATAGGTTGGGTACTTCCAGTGTGTAGTTAGTGCCTTTCGTAGCCTTTTGCTTCAGTCCAGCCATATAACAACGAGGCAACCAAGAGATGGTTCCTCGCATTGTCCCATGAGGAAAATCGAATCCTGGTCTTCGAAGTGACGAGCCAACGCTTCAACAACAAAGCGTAATTTCAATTATTTCCCAATTTCTGAGAATAATTATACATGTAAACTGACGTCCAAAAGAAACTTTACCAAATGAAAATATAAATTTCAGACAAAGTATAAATTATTTTTCGATGACGTCTATCTAAAACACATAACCTAAATACAACAATAGTGTATGCTGAAAATGTTGTTACATGTTTGCAGGATAACACGCGAAAAAGTGAAAAACACGTGCACCACGGACAACTGCAAATGCACGTGCGGGTAAGGGTATAAAACGATTGCAACGGCAAGTCAGACATCAACAGTGACAAAAAAAACACAAAAGAAATGCCACGACTCACAGTCGAACAACGTGAACGAGCCTTGGGTATGGTACAGATGGGAGCCACCCACGCCAATATTGCACGAACCTTCGGTTGCTCCCGTGTTGCCGTAAAAAACTTGATGCAACGTTACAGACAGACAGGGCGGACCGCTGACAGGCCAAGAACAGGCAGACCCAGGGTGACCACGCCCCATGATGACCGGTACTTGCGTACCTTGCACCTCCGAAATCGTTTCCTGACAGTGACGTCATCGGCGACAAATGCCTTAGGTCACAGGGTTAGTCGACAGACAGTGGCCAGGAGACTCAGGGCTCATGGAATCAGGGCTTTTATGGATCTGTGGGCAGGAGAGGACACCGCTGGTCATCGTTGACGGAAACTTGACAGCTCAGCGTTACATGGATAACATTCTTCGTCCAGTTGTCCTACCATTTCTCCAACAGCAGCCACGTGGTGTCATTTATCAGCATGACAACGCTAGAGCCCATACAGCCAGAATTGTCACTAACCTCCTCGCAGCCAACAACGTCAACGTCCTGCCGTGGCCTGCACGCTCAACCAACATGTCCCCCATAGAACACCTCTGGGACTTGATGGATCGTCGTGTTCGACAACGACCACACCCTCCAGCCAAACGGCAAGAACTGATCTTGGCCCTCCAAGAAGAATGGCGTCAAATCCCACGTGACCTCATCAGACGACTGACTTTTTCTGTGCGTCGAAGAGTTTTTGCGTGTATTGAGGCATTTGGTGGTCACACCCGCTACTAATGACTTGTAATTGAACGTGAGCGATTGTTTATGTACTCTTGTCCATTGTCCATGATTCTGAAAGCTCGAGTTTTTTACCACACCCAACTTTGGGGGGCTCTCACGTCATTCTCGGTTGCGGTATGATTGTCATTTTCAGTGTTAATTATGTTGATATATTGATCTTCTCAATACACTTTACTTCATGCATATATGTTTCGTTGTTTTTTAGCAAGAGTGATTTCAAACTCTGTAAATAAACTGACGTCCAAAAGAAACTTTACCAATCAGCGAACTCCACCAGCGGACAAAATAGAGATTGCCAGTGGCGATGTGTACCGTTTTGTCACTTGTTGCCCCAAAATAACAGATGACTTCAACAACTCCCCTCATAATTTTACTCGGGACATACACGTGCTCGTGGGTTTAACCAAAGTGGAAAACGTTCAAGACCTACATCACTTCGGGCTTACCTCCCGCTGACACGCCGCGATATAACTGGATACCCTACCGCCCCTTACAGTGTGCTGTCTGATGGTGTGACATCGTGCCCGTCAGGTGCAATGCCCACGTCGTTTCACATACATAATCGTTAACCATGAGGTGTTTGTGACAGCATGCCGTTGTTCCATGGACGACTTCTGGTGACCCGTGTGTCCAGGGAACAATGCACGTGTAGCCGTGCACAGACACATGGGGTCACGTTGTCGACCATTTGTACTTAATGTCAAGTGATGTATGCCGGTGGAGATAACACAGTTTATCTGACCAGAGTAACCAACGCTGTGTGTTCGGCCGCAGGGAAGGTAGATAGGTTCCTGCGCCCACCATGGCGTATTCCCTTATGACAAACAACTCATTGATCGCATGACCACGCAGACTAACATTTAACTGGGGAATTAGCATACCAACGCAGGCACGAGGGATGTACATGTAGACTGTAGCAGGGGTGTACATGTAGACTAGAAGGGGAGTACATGTAGACTAGCAGGGGAGTACATGTAGACTGTAGCAGGGGAGTACATGTAGACTGTAGCAGGAGAGCACATGTAGACTGTAGCAGGGGAGTACATGTAGACTGTAGCAGGGGGGTACATGTAGACTGTAGCAGGGAAGCACATGTAGACTGTAGCAGGGGGGTACATGTAGACAAGAAGGGGAGTACATGTAGACTGTAGCAGGGGAGTACATGTAGACTGTAGCAGGAGAGCACATGTAGACTGTAGCAGGGGAGTACATGTAGACTGTAGCAGGGTTTACATGTAGACTGTAGCAGGAGAGCACATGTAGACTGTAGCAAGGGAGTACATGTAGACTGTAGCAGGGGAGCACATGTAGACTGTAGCAGGAGAGTACATGTAGACTGTAGCAGGGGAGTACATGTAGACTGTAGCAGGGGAGCACATGTAGACTGAAGCAGGGGAGTACGTGTAGACTGTAGCAGGGGAGAACATGTAGGCTGTAGCAGGGGAGTTCATGTAGACTGAAGCAGGGGAGTACGTGTAGACTGTAGCAGGGGAGAACATGTAGGCTGTAGCAGGGGAGTTCATGTAGACTAGCAGGGGTAGCAGGGGTTTACGTGTACACTGTAGCAGGGGAGTACATGTAGACTGTAGCAAGGGAGTACATGTAGACTGTAGCAGGGGAGTACATGTAGACTGTAGCAGGGGAGTACATGTACACTGTAGCAGGGTAGCACATGTAGACTGTAGCAGGGGAGTACATATAGACTGTAGCAGAGGAGTACATGTAGACTGTAGCAGAGGAGTACATGTAGACTAGCAGGGGAATACATGTAGACTGTAGCAGAGTAGTACATGTAGACTGAAGCAGAGGAGTACATGTAGACTGTAGCAGGGGAGTACATGTACACTGTAGCAGAGTAGTACATGTAGACTAGCAGGTGAGTACATGTAGACTAGCAGGTGAGTACATGTAGACTGTAGCAGGGGAGTACATGTAGACTGAAGCAGGGGAGTACGTGTAGACTGTAGCAGGGGAGTACATGTAGACTGTAACAGGGGAGTACATGTAGACTGTAGCAGAGTAGTACATGTAGACTGTAGCAGGGGAGTACATGTAGACTGTAGCAGGGGAGTACATGTAGACTGTAACAGGGGTGTACATGTAGACTGTAGCAGAGTAGTACATGTAGACTAGCAGGTGAGTACATGTAGACTAGCAGGTGAGTACATGTAGACTGTAGCAGGGGAGTACATGTAGACTGAAGCAGGGGAGTACGTGTAGACTGTAGCAGGGGAGTACATGTAGACTGAAGCAGGGGAGTACATGTAGACTAGCAGGTGAGTACATGTAGACTGTAGCAGGGGAGTACATGTAGACTGTAGCAGGGGAGTACATGTAGACTGTAGCAGGGGAGTACATGTAGACTAGCAGGTGAGTACATGTAGACTAGCAGGTGAGTACATGTAGACTGTAGCAGGGGAGTACATGTAGACTAGCAGAGTAGTACATGTAGACTGTAGCAGAGTAGTACATGTAGACTGTAGCAGAGTAGTACATGTAGACTGTAGCAGAGTAGTACATGTAGACTAGCAGGTGAGTACATGTAGACTGTAGCAGGTGAGTACATGTAGACTGTAGCAGGGGAGTACATGTAGACTGTAACAGGGGTGTACATGTAGACTGTAGCAGAGTAGTACATGTAGACTGTAGCAGAGTAGTACATGTAGACTGTAGCAGAGTAGTACATGTAGACTGTAGCAGAGTAGTACATGTAGACTAGCAGGTGAGTACATGTAGACTAGCAGGTGAGTACATGTAGACTGTAGCAGGGGAGTACATGTAGACTGTAACAGGGGAGTACATGTAGACTGTAGCAGGGGAGTACATGTAGACTAGCAGGGGAGTACATGTAGACTGTAGCAGGGGAGTACATGTAGACTGTAACAGGGGTGTACATGTAGACTGTAGCAGAGTAGTACATGTAGACTAGCAGGGGAGTACATGTAGACTGTAGCAGGGGAGTACATGTAGACTGTAACAGGGGTGTACATGTAGACTGTAGCAGAGTAGTACATGTAGACTAGCAGGGGAGTACATGTAGACTAGCAGGGGAGTACATGTAGACTAGCAGGGGAGTACATGTAGACTCTAACAGGGGAGTACATGTAGACTCCCCGTAGCAGGGTTTGTAGCGTAGTCGGTTGCATGGTGACGGTACAAAGGTAGGGATTTTACTGAAGCTTCCATTAATAATCAACGTATTATTGTTGGCGAGACATATTCAGACGTGTTATCTTATCGTCTGTTACTTATTTTATTGGCCCCGTAGGAAATCACGGACAAAACAGGTCTCCAGTACTCTATGATTGCAAGAGGTAGATTCATCGGGAGTGTCATCTTCGCTGGTGTTATGTCATTGTATCTCCAGTGTGTGTGTGTGTGTGTGTGGGGGGGGGGGGGGGGGGGGGTGTTACTTTATAGAGTTGTTTTTCGCCAACAATTCAGATCTGAAATCGAAACTATTGGGTATTGTTTCGTTTCTATTGTTTGTTTGTCAATAATACACTGTTGCCAGAAAATTGCGGTCACATAGCGCTGGATCAAGCAATATTTACGATAATTTACAGATTTTGTTGCATCTATTTCGTATAAGGTTTTATCCCAGAAAGGAGATTTTCAAACGGAATCCCCAAACCCGTTGCCCATATTTTTGTGTCATTTGGATTTTGGATTTTTTAACTGTAAATAAATACAGATTCTCACCTGAGTGTCTTTTAGTATTTTACAATGTTCACAGTGAACAACAGACATCATGAATATGTAGGCATGTTAAACCACAATGGTCACTGTAAATGAAGCTTGTAAAAGTTCAATCTCATTAAAATCAGATCTTAGTTCTCGCTGAGGACAACCCATTACGGGTCACGTCAGTACGACCTTTCGTCCGACCAATCAAAGCGTCGCTTTCCAGATCATGAAAGTGACAGTCGGAATGTGTTTTCTAATCATGCAACCTCGAAAACGTTAACACGGGGTATTCCGAACGACAGTTACGGCCCGAACGACTGATTCCGTCAAAATTATCGTCTATCTCTCGCTTCCGTGGGATAAACATTTGAACGGAGGAGGCGTTGCACAGTACGCGGGAAGCACTGCCGTACAATCGCAACCATATATTAGACATTCCGGAATGTTCGTTTGTTCAGTTTTCAAAATTTTAATCGAGAACTGTTTCAACATATTTTTCAAGCGTAGTTTGAAATGGAAATCACCAGGTTGAAACGAGTGCCGTAAAGTTCGAGAAAGCTGCTTTCTAATTGGCTGATGTCAACATCTTGTTGGTCGTTTCAGTGGTCGGTCAAAGTTCGCGAAAGGTGGTCCTGACGTGAGCCGTAATAGGATGTCCTCAGATCTTTGTTTAGCGACAACGAGAACTTAGATCTGATTTTTATGAGATTGGTAAAAGCTGGCATTCAAATACCTTCAGGGACTCGGAATTTGATCAACATTCAAATTCAAATTATGTTAAGTGATCACTTTTGTACCACCATTACGCCATCATGAGCATCACCAGTAGCCCGAGACCACTGTAAGTAATTCCGAGGAGCAAAGGAAACTACACTTCTAAGTTGATTTATTTTATATATTTGATTTCAATTTGAAAATATCTTAAGTTAACACTATGATGTCCTAAAACTGAACTGTACCGGCGCTTAGCCAGTACTCATGAAAACTCCTACATGGTAAGATATTATTCTATGTAAAACCAACTGCTGATTGGTATCTTAACCATGGTGGGGGTCATGTGGTTGCTAATTCATGTCTTACCCTAGTCTTCATTGAACCAATATATTTCTATACAAAATTACCAAGCCACATATTGCTTACAAATTGTAGCTTGAATGAGTGGTGGTTAAATAGACATAATCCAATTTAACAACAGGTTCTTTCGATATTCAATTACATAATTGTATCCCTTGTGAAGAAAGGTCCACCGTCAAGCATATATTGCTTGACTGTGTGGACTTTGCAATCGCAAGGGATTCACATTATCAACGCGTAAATCTGAAAGATCTCTTTACCCGTGTCAGCGGGAATCTCATTATCAGCTATTTGAAAGAAATTGGTCTGTATAATATATTTTAATTATGTATGTGGATAATTAAATGCTTGTGTATAGATTTGGTGTGATGCTATTATCAATTGACATTACTGAAGGGTCTGTCCAGGGGGTTAAAGTATCGTAAAGTTATTGTCCCCCTGTTTGACACGTACTCCTGCCATAATCGATGTAACGATCATCAACCAGTGTTTTTTAGCCAACTCATTGCTGAGTATTTTTTAATACTGTCTAGTAATGTGCAAAACCACCAGAAGCTAAAGTTATGACGTAAATCCTGCTGGGGTATCATGCAGGAAGCAGAGGTACTGTAAGTCCCAATGATCCCCTGCGAGGTGGCCAAGCTTTGGTTACTGGTGGCCTATAGCACGTGTTTTAAAACTGTATACATGACATTGTTATGCTCAAATATGTTTCATAAATTGTTTTTGGAATATAACTTTGCATAAATGACTCAATTGTAAATATATTAACTTGGTCTCGTCGCTATATGGCTAAAATAATGCCGATGCGACGTTAATTTTAACTCACTCACATAAAAAAAATAAAATCGGTATACTTTCTTTTGATACTCAGTTCATTACAGATGTATTTTCATGGGCGTCAGCACGTACATCACTGGTTTCCTAGAGAATGAGATGAGTAAATGGTTGATACTTTCGTATCTAAGTCGCGCAAACCAGTCAATCCTTCTGACATGTAAATTTCATCAGGGTGAAATGCATGTCTCTCTCCATCTTCCCGAGGCAAGGGAGTTAACTGACTATAAAAGCCCACTTTCTACCCTTGCCGAATTTGGCCGGAATTTCTGGGTTCAATCGTAGCGCCACCAGTGCCTATTACGAGTTATGACCCTTGTAGATCCCGCCTATTGACCATTCAGATTCCACCTCTCATATAACTTGCATTTGTTTCACATAAAATGGCGGCACCCAGTCAACATGGTCCGATCGATAATCAAACAGTCATTACTTAGCGAAGTTCATGAAACCACGTGAGCAACTTGATGAAAAACATGAAAAGATTTGGAAAATATTTGTTGACGCTAAGTTTACGGTACACATGTTTTGCAAATCCTGCAGTCGAAAGGAATATGCACGGCTGTTTTAGTGTTTACGTACCGGATGTGACGTAAATTTCGTTACGCGATTTTGCATAGACTCGTTAGTCCAGCCAAAACATAACTCCATACTTGCAGCCTAGTTCGGCAAGATGGATATTTATGGTCAGTTATCTCCCTTGCTTTGGGAAGATGGTCTCTCTCAAGTTCAGCGTTATTTCAATGTAGTGAAATATCTTTTTGTGATTTTATCATTGTACTAAAATTAAAAAGAAATAACATGGAGTTTCAAAAAGCATACATGTGCTGAAATTGCGCACATGAATCTGCAATATTAACAACGATAAACGTATAAATAGACAAAAACTATCTGTATGAAGATGGTTTAAAACTCTTTATGCTTCTGTAAAATATAATGTCAATAAATTGCTAAGATTCTATGGCATTTGATTGGCTAAACCATGCAATGTTTGTTTTTACGTTTGTTTTTCAAGAAATCTAAAACAATTTGGCTACACTCACATAATAATTAAAAAGGTGTGAAGTTATAATGTTGACCTATTTCATTTTAAGAAATGACTTCAATATGTTTTGCGGATTCACGCATCTTGTGAACACTGGTTTTTACGTTTGTAAATACCTTTAAAAAATAAATTCACGCATCTTGTGAACACTGGTTTTTACGTTTGTAAATACCTTTAAAAAATAAAATGTTGAAGTCAATTCTTAAATAATCTATGTTCTATTGAAAAAATACAGAAATCTATCATGTTTCAAGGATAGCTGCCAAACTATTGGTCCCTGAGCATATAATGTTGTATTTGTTTGAGAATGTTAATAATGGCAACTTTTGTCAGATAAACACGGTTGTAAAAAATGTAGTTATTATATAGTATGTAGACAGCCTTGGGCAATCGTTTGGTTTATTTCAATACCATCCATATTGAAATAAAATTCCACATCTGACCACAACGAATTGCAAACCTTACCAAATACGTTCTATCT